GGCACGCACTCACAAAAAAGGTTGCCCACCCCTGAAATAGGAGATCACAATTTGATTCTTTGTTAGTACACCTGCACTGGTTGCAAGTTCAATCACCAGTGGGGGCTCGTGCAGGAGTCAGCTGATCAATGACTCTCTCTCATCATTGATGTTTTTATCTCTCTCTCCTTTTCCTCTAGAAAATAGAAAATACATATATTTAACTAATTAATTAATTAATTAATTTAAAGAATAAATAAATATCCCTAGCCACTGTGCTTCACTGATGACAGTGCTGCCTTGTGCACTGGAGGGCTAGGGTTTGATTCCCAGTCAAAGGTAGATACCTGAGTTGCAGGTCCGATCCCCACTCACAGTAGAGGCAACATGTGGGAGGCAGCCAATCGATGTTTCTCTTTCTCTCTCTCTCTGTCTGTCTGCCACTCTCTCTCTAAAAAAACAATCAGTGGAAAAAATATCCTCACTATTCGGGTGAGGATAAAAGAAGAATAAAGAATTAAAATCAGAAAAGTTACGGGATGCAAAATAAACATGCAACCATTAGTTCCATTTCTACAACCTAATAATAAATTCTTTGATGGAAAAATGAAGAATGTAATCAAATTTACAAAAGAATCAAAAACAATAAAACCCAAAGAAAAAAATTCAACCAAAATGTGAAACATCTGTACAGTGAGTACTATAAGACAGTGATGAAAGGAATGAAAGAAAACACAAATCAGTTGAAAGACAACCTGTGTTTATGGATCTGAAAATGAAATATGGTGGAGATTGCTATAGTACATAAGGCAAACTACAGATTAAATGCAATATCAATAACTCCAATGGTATTTTACAAAGAAATGAATAGAGCCCTGACCACTTTGGGTCAGTGGCTAGAGCGTCGGCCTGTGGACTGAAGAGTCCCTGGCTCGATTCTGGTCAAGGGCATGTACCTTGGTTGCGGGCACATCCCCAGTAAGGGGTGTGCACCTCCTGCACACTCCATACTGGGTATGTGCCCGCAATCAAGGTACATGCCTTTGACCAGAATCAAACCTAGGCCCCTTGAGTCCACCGGCCGAGGCTCTATCCACTGAGCAAAACGGGCTAGGGCAGTGCTCGGCAAACTGTGGTTTGCGAGCCACATGCGGCTCTTTAGCCCCTTGAGTGTGGCTCTTCCACAAAATACTGACTTCTGCGCATGGGTCACGAAGTTTCAATCTCACTGTACGTGCACGCCGGCACGTGGTATTTTGTGGAAGAGCCACACTCAAGGGGCCAAAGAGGCGTCTGTGGTTCACAAGCCGCAGTTTGCCGACCATTGGGCTAGAGCAACAAAAGATATCTTTAGCAAGAAGAAAGCTGGTGGCATCACACCTCCTGACTTCAATTTATTACAAAGAGAAAGCAACCAAACAGTGTGTTGCTGGAGAAACACAGACACATACATCAAGAGAACAGAACAGAAAACAGAAAAAAACCCAGGCACATGACTTTAAGTAATCTTTGACAAAGCTACAAGCCACAGAAGAAGGGAAAGATAGTTTCTTCAACCAATGGTGCTGGTATAAATGGACATTCACATGTAAAACAACAAAACTGGACAGCACTGATAAAATCTAAGCCAACTGTATGACAGAATTAAATGTGAGCGCAAAAACTTAAAACTCCTCACAACCTAGAAGAGAAGAAGCTTTGGAGGTTTGTTTTGGACAGGATTTTCTGAATGTGACACCAACCACCACACAAAATAGAAAACATAAACAGTCCACACTGCAACAAATAAAGAAAAATAGCGTCTTCACTGCACAACAGCAATAAATGAAGTGAAATGAAAGGCAATCTATAGAACAGAAGAAAATACTTGCAAACCATATGAAGGAATCCCTTGGAGATATTGTGGATTTGGCTATGACCAGCACAATAAAGCGAATATTGAGATATAGACAGAAATTCACACAAATAGTTGGAGTTCCCTGGGAATAATGAAGGTATCTTAATACTATACTGTAGGCTAATAATAATGCAATGACTCTGCCTCAAAAGAAAAGTCTATATGACTTCATTAACAATATTTAATTGCTAAGATACAAATTATGAACAACAAATACACATCTATCAACAAGTGAATCTGAAAATCAAGTGAATAATCTGATGAACAGAATGAACTGGTGATTATAAAAATCAGGGGCATATGATCCATCTCTCTCATCGATGTTTCTAACTCTCTATCCCTCTCCCTTCCACTCTGTAAAAAATCAATAAAATAAATATTAAAAAAAAAACTTAAAAAAAAAAAGGGATGTGGATGGTGAGATATTTAGGTATTTCCCAAAACTCAAGAGGCACATCAAAAACCTTCCAAAGATGACAGAACGGACTGTCAAAGTCTTCAAAAGCTGTTTTTAAACATCATCGAGTCAAGTATTGAGCAGTTCTTCTCAAGATTTGCGAAATTCAGAGAACTGGAAGAGACAGCAAAATTCATGAGATTTCCAGACAGCATGAAACTGGAGGAACTAAACTTACAAATGTTTTCATGGATAGACATGGCTGACTTTGAAATGCAGTTGATTGAATTTCAGAGTAGCTCAATTTGGAAGCAGAAATTTATTGACCTTAGAGTTGACTTGGAAAACATTGAAAAAAAGCGATTAGAGACAGGAGTACCAGAGAGAAGTGTCAAAAACGAACTATTGAGGACTTGGAATGCCACTTTGTGGGGGGGAAAAAGGAACAAATGTAAAAGTCCGAACAATAAAGATTTAATTAATGAAAAATAAAAATAAAAAAATAAGGATAAAAAAATACAGTTATTAAATAGGATAAGGATGTAGAGACAGTTTTTCAAAAATATATACAAACTAGAGGCCCGATGCATGAAATTCATGTGGGGGTGGGGGTGGGGGGGTGTGTTTCTCAGCCCAGCGTGCATCCTCTCTAAGCTGGGACCCCTCTCACAATCCAGGACTGCTGGCTCCTAACTGCTCCTCTGTCTGCCTGCCTGATTGCCCCTAACTGCTTCGTCCTGCCAGCCTGATCACCACTTAACCACTCTCCCGCCATCCTGATCATTGTTAACTGCTCCCCTGCCAGCTGAAGCCCCTAACTGCCATCCCCTGCAGGCTTGGTTGCCCTAACTGCCCTCCCCTGCCAGCCCAGTCACCCCTAACTGCAATTTCTTGCCAGCTGGGGCGCTCCCAACTGCCCTCCCTGCAGGCCTGGTCCCCACCAACTGCCCTCCCCTGCAGGCCTGGTCCCCCCTAACTGCCTTCCCCTGCAGGCCTCAACTGCCCTCCCCTGCTGGCCTGGTTCCCCCCAACTGCCCTCCCCTACAGGCCTTGTCCCTCCCAACTGCCCTCCCCTGCTGGCCTGATTGCCCACAACTTCCCTCCCCTGCAGGCCTGTTCCCCTTAACTGCCCTCGCCCGCAGGCCTTGTCTACCCATCTGCCCTCGCCTGCAGGCCTGGTCCCCCCAACTTCCCTCCCCTGCTGGCCTGGTCACCCCTAACTGCCCTCCCCTGCAGGCCTGATCGCCCACAACTGCCCTCCCCTGCAGACCATCTTCTGTGTTCCATCTTTGACCAAATGAAGGTGGCCATCTTGGACCACATGGGGGCAGCCATAGGAATATAGAAAATGCTTTCCTCACTAATTAAGGTGGAATCCTTTAAGCTTCCTGCAACACTACCAACCACAAGTCCTTCCCTGTGAATTTAGTGCAGCGGGGAGTATTGGGACTTCAGGAATAGAAGGGAGCAGTGGAACCAACCCTTCCCCAGGACAGCAACTGCCCAGGAAACTGGAAAATCAAGCAGTACCACAGTCTACCTGGGAGGTCAGAGCAAACCCTGGAGGATGGGCTCTGAAAAATTGCAAAGCCAAGTAAGTCCAGGTCACTGGTGAGAGTGAGGGTCTTACCCAGGGAGGATGTAAGTTCAAAGTTCTCCAGCATCACATTCAGGTACAGCTGTCTCTGACCCTCATCAAGGAGGCTCCACTCCTCCCTGGAAAAGTACAGGGCAATGTCCTCAAAGGTCACGCCAACCTGTCAGAATTGAGACAATTGTAACCAGACCTGCCTTTCTGAGAACTGCAGTTCTATTCCTTACACACCTTCCCCCCCTCAACCTCCTCCAGGGCACCCCAGTTTAGTGCGGACACCAGGCCCTAATGCCAGTGCAGGCTGCTTTCTCATCACAGTCCCATTATTCACTGTGATTGCCCTCAGCAAAGCAGCTGGGTTGGGTGGGAAAGATTGGGGGAGGGGAGGGTAGAGGGCAATGCCATTTAAGGTCTGGGCGATGCCTGCAGGGCCCCAGCCTTCCAGCCAAGCAACACCACTGCAGGCTCCTAGATCCTGCCTCCAA